GTGATAATAGGCCCCTTGTACTTTTTTACACTTCCAGCAGGTCGGCTTCATGTTTGGGTACATTTTAGCCAATCTTGTTGGTGATGAGTCCCAACGATAAAACATTTTGTATTTATTTTCTTTAAGTGCTGCTGATCGTGTTAGTTTATAATTTGTGTTCCAAATTCCTTCCCAATCCACTAGATCTATGTTGTAACCAAAGTTTTTGGACTCTTATTTTAGAAACTGTTAACTGAAAGTTTTGGAGGTGGGTAAATGGACAGGGTTATTTCATAAACGAGGAAAAAGGAAAAAAAATAACTCGTACTTTCCAGTCACTGTGACTTTTGGCCTCCATTTCCTGAATTTGAGCTGTCGTTCTTTTCTATCCAGCTCTTTCAGAAAATCCATAATTTGCCGGTACTGCATCTGAACGAATAAAATAACGGATAATGGTTAGTTGGCGGAGGAGCCTCCCGGAATTTAAACAACGCAGAGGGAAAACCAGTATTTCCCCATTAAAATATCACCCACTGTTTTGAGAAGGCAGAACTTGCCGAGCCATTGAAAGTCCTCGACGTACGGCCACGATCGAGAAACCCAAACTTTCTGTGGCTAAGCAAGACAGCTGCTAACTGAGCTGCGCCCCATTTTACGACCTTTCCTGCCACGGTTGCTAAGCGAATTGCTGCAGTGGTTCAGTTGGTCGCACTCATGGGATGTCATGACTGCGTTGTTTGGCAGTTGCCAGCCTCAATTAACGTCGTTCAGTGAGGACTAGTTTTCCCCCTCCCCCCTCTTAGGGGCGACTGGATGGTCACACTCATGGGATGTCATGACTGTGTTGTTTAGCAGTTGCCAGTCTCAATTAATGTCGTTCAGTGAGGACTAGGTTTCCCCCCACCCCTCTCTTAGGGGCAACTGGATGGAGCTGAGCATTTGCCAGCCGGATTCCCTTCCTGACGCCTATGCGGAGTTCACAGCAAATACTTTCCCTCCGCGCCCTGGGAAATATCGACCTAGGAATCAAATGCTCCCCGTTTCGAGTGGGAGGTGAGAGTCTTTAACACTAGGCCACCATGCCACTCAAAGTGGTAGAACTCCCTGTAGCAGCATGCAAACCCATCTCCGAGAGGAAGTTTGGTCCCCCCCCCCCATCCACCTGAGAAAGCTTCAAGGGGATTGTTTCCAGCTGGATGTCGAACTCCAGGCGTGGCATATTCCGCGACCGGAGGGGTTCCTTGGAACAATTTCTCTTGAGGAGGGCAGAGGTGCACACGGGCTCCACAATGTAATCGTGATCCCGGCGTTCCATGCTGTTATCCATGGCTTCCTGGAAATCAGAATCACGTTAATTCAGGGGTTTGTTCGCTTTTTTTAAAAATCTTGCTGATGTTAACAGATTACAGATGAACAGAGGTGGAAGGGACCCTGTGGGTCATCTAGTCCAACCCCCACCCCCCACCCGCCCAAGCAGGAGACCCAACACTATTTCTGCCAAAGGGTGGGGCCAATATTTTCTTGAAAGCCTCCAGGGATGAAGCTCCCACAACTTCCGAAGGGAACTTGTTGATTGTTCTCCCTGTCAAGAAATTCCTCCTTATTTCTAGGTTGAATCTCTCCTTGCTCAGTTTCCATCCATTATAGCAATAGCAATAGCAGTTAGACTTATATACCGCTTCATAGGGCTTTCAGCCCTCTCTAAGCGGTTTACAGAGTCAGCATATCGCCCCCAACAATCCGATAGATAGATAGATGATAGATAGATAGATAGATAGATAGATAGATAGATAGATAGATAGAAGATAGACAGACAGACAGAGATATAGAGATAGATAGATAGATAGATAGATAGATAGATAGATAGATAGATAGATGGATGGATGATAGATAGATAGATGATAAATAGAT